ATAAAAGAAATCTAACAAGATACATGTTAACTATTTTTTATTGTTTAGAATTTTTATTCATATTTTATATTACAAGTCATTTATAGTTATTTTGTACAATCTCTACTATTAAAAAAATACTTCTAATAGTTTTTCTGCCCGACACTCAACTGTTAGCCTCGTACTTATGAATCTAGCTAAAAAGAGATGTGAGAGAGAGAGAGAGAGATGCCTCACCGGCCGCACGCGTTGTTGGTCGCCTTTGTGCCTCCGAACTGGCGGACCCTCTGGCCCTCCGGAGAGGAAGAAAAAGAAAAGCTTTGTCGGGAGGAAATTTTATAAAAGGGTAAATTACCCCGATCACGGTTGATAATGATGGCAGTTGCCGGCCAGTATTGGGGCACAACCGTTGCGAGCTTAGCTAGCTAACTAGTGCTCCATTTCCTTGCTTTCCCCCTTCTTGTTAATTAATGTGACATAAAGAAAGCCCTAATCAATCTGTAGAGCATACAATGTGGAATACTGGTCCCTTTGATTAGTTATGTGACTAGTACTTTAGGAGTGGTTTAATTTAGTGGCTAAACCACGTTGGTGGGTGGCAGGGGAGATCGGTAAAATTAGTAAATTACATTTAAATTTGTAAATGAATTTGAGAAGAAAAAAAGTTGATAATGGTTTAGACCATTCACGTCAATACAATTGCAAAATCAGTTACATGTATTGTCCATATAATCACGTCAACAGTTTATACAATCTAATTCGTATTAGTTTCATTGCACCTATCTATGGAGGCTCACTTACGATTGCATATGTGCTTAAATTATGAAAAATAAAGGATAAAGAATAATTTCATTGCAGAAGCCCATAATTTCTCATGTTTTCGGTCGCTTTGGCTTTCGTATGCAATTGCATATATTGAAAGATTGCAAATATGCGACCACATTGAAAGGCCACTATGGATGCTCTTATCTCCTCTCTTATTACCGAAGGTTAAATACTTAAATTCCTTCAACATAAGAGTTTTTAGCTCCTAGTGTGTAGATTTTTGTGTTCAGGTTTATGGCACCGCCACTGCTGGTGGTTCTTTGCTTGGAGCTTTTGGATAAACTCAAAAGATTTTCTTAGAATATAGCGCATTTATGAAATTAAATTCAATCCGAAGAGCTTAATTTTGTAGTAAAATGAGACAAGAAAAACAATACAAAGCGAGAACCGTGCATTTCCATAGTCATTTAGGTTTCCTTCGATTCGAAAAAAGTACTCTCCCTAGGAATTTTCCGCTGCCTTCTCACTTGCATTTTTTAATCTCAGCCTTCCATGGGGCCTGCTACCGGCGACAACCCTCTGCCTCCCTTTTTACTTACTTTTTCTTGCGTTTTTTTCCATGTCTTTCCTCTGCTCTTCTTCTGCGTCTCCAGCCATGGATGGCTCTCTTTTCGCTCCTGTGTGGGTTCCTCTCTTCGCTCCCCATTGTGAGAGTTGCTTTTGCCCCTCTGATTTGGTTCGCTAGATATGGAGATGATGGATCTAATACAAGGTTGTCAAACTGAGTTAAGCCATTGAGTCGGTCAAGCAAGGGGTTTGAGGTTTAATGGTCTAATCGGGGTCCAGTGGGTTTAGACGTTTTCTAAATATATATACAAATAAGGTAGTAATTAAAGTTTTAATAACTGAAATGAATTTTATCTTACATGTATCTATTAAAAACTTTTTTTCCACAAAATAAATCTACCTAATCTCCATGACCCACCCACCATCTACCTTCCTTTGTTCCTCTTCCTCTCTTACCCATCTCTTCTTCTCCCTCTTTAGGGGTCACACCTATGGGCTTTCTGGAGGCCGTTTTGAAGCCCGACTTAGGTCAGACCGAGTCCAACCGAGGGTCTGATAGGGGTTTAACAACCTTGATCTAATATGACAAAGGAGACTGGTTGGTTTTAATCGTCCAGATTGTCTTCCCCTCCCCTTCTTCTGCTCTACCTCCTTGTTGTTTCACCCTGCTGCAGGTCACGGTGATTCAGAGATGCTTGAGCCCTTGGCTTGGACCTGGACGGGAGAGCTTGAAGACTGAAGATCATCTTTCTGGTTCCCTCCACTGATCGCCCTTTCTTTCTTATGCATGCTCTGTGTGGTGTGGGTGTGCTGACGACGTTTGGTCCGGGGAGGTGAATTTGGAGGGTTCTTTTACGCTACCCTCCTTACGGGTTGGGTTGGGAACAAGTTCCCATGCTTGGAGGCCGGTGGCGGTGGCGACTGCCCGTTTTGCGTCCGGCGGCGGAGGTGTTTCTCGTCCAGCGGCTATGGAGGTTTCCAGAAAGGCAATTTGCGGCTAGGGTTTAGATTCTCAGACTGAGTTGTGGCCCACGATTTTGGACCCTATTGGGTCCCGACCATATTGTTTTGCGCCTTGAGTTTTTGAATATGTTTTCCTTTGTACGCGCTTGTTGTTGTATCTTTCTCCGTTTGGGCATGTCCCATTTGTCGTATTAATGAATTGACTTGTAAAAAAAAAAAGAAGGTTTCCTTCTATTCTAAATGTTGTATTTTGAGAATATATATGTATCCTACTATCCTACAAAATACAACATTTTTTAAAGCACATAATGCATGTATTGATAATGCATTATGTCTTCCTTACACATATAACATTATGTATACTGAATTTCACTTTATGGTGAGATTTTGTATCTTATACTTCATTTAGTGTAACAATTCATACTCTTTTTTTATGTTTTCCAATAATAAATTATCAAACCGGAACATTCTTAACATACATATAATGTTAATATTTATTTTTCAAATACCATCATTTTCTTATGAAAGATTCCAAACCACCCTTGGTGTGATAGTGAGGATACGTACACTTAGGCCCCGTTTAGTATTGTTGCCTGTTTTTGTTTCCTGTTGTGTTTTTAAAGATTGGAGAAACCAAGAAAAAAAAAAACATGTTTAGTTGGGTTTCTATTTTCTGTTGTGAATCAGAGTTGCACAACAAGGCCTAAATATGAGAAACAACAATTTATTGCTTTGGATCTGATTTTAAAACATGTTGCACACGGGATTCCTACTGGTTGGGCACTTGATTTCATTAAATTAGTCCAGTTTTCGAATCCCCACAGAAGCAAAATTTTTTCTTTTTTTTAACACAGCTGCCACCCCCCAAACCCTACTTCTAACATATCAGCCGCCGCCCCCCAAACTATTCTTCCCTTAAACCCTTCTCAACAGAGGCGTCACCCGCCACCCTTCTCAACAAGGCGCCACCTCCGCCTCACCACCCCCGAGCCGCCCGCCACCTCCTCAGTCGCCGGCCCCTCCGCCTTCGCGCCCGACCCCTCCACCTTCGCGTCGATCCAGCCCGCCGCGCAGCCCCAACCCTCCGCCGCGCAGCCCGCCGACTCGCCGCCGACGTCCGCTTGCCGACCCCTCTGCCTCCGCGCCCGACCTCTCCGCCTCCGCGCTGACCTAGCCCGCCGCGCAGCCCGACCCCTCCGCCGCGCAGCCCGCCCAGCCCGCCGACCCGCGTTTTTGTAGTAACTAAACGCGTTTTTGTTTCTTGTTTTTCAGCTTTCATGATTTTTCAAATTTATCAACTAAAGAGGTTTGTGTTTTCTGTTTTCTGTTTTTTTCCTGTTGTGGTTGTACATCTGTTTACACAACACCACTACAACCACAACAACAACAAAATGATACTAAACGGGCCCTTAGTTAACAAATTACGACGAATTGCAATGGTCATTTCTAGGCCTAACATGTCCGTACGAATATTCTCGACACACAATACTGGAGCCTGGAGGGGAAGTGGAAAACCAGCTTTAGGTTGATATGTCGAGTTGCACGCTATGATCAAAAGTGGAGTTTTGTCCCCTCCCACTTCAGAGATTCCAGAAAACGATTGTGTCTCTCTCCCTTCTGTTTCTTCTTTGTTTTGGTTTCTTTATTGATCTCTCGGAATGGGAGAAATCGATCAAAATTCACTGTGTATATAATGAAGACTTTGTATAACCAAAGAGACACAACCCGGGGAAAAAAAATAAACAAACGAAATACTCATAAGATGCGATTGTTGCTAAGATAAAATCATTTGGTCAAATTCGAAGTGATTAGTGAAAAGATCTCAATCAACCAGCTGACAAAAATCAAAATCTTGTTGAAATTCATTGTTAAATGTGCATTTTTATCATTTGATATTGTATCGTGATAGAATGTTCGACTCTTGATGATGAGTTGTTGTTTTCCAAGACCCGATCAACATTAATTAGTGTTGTTTTAAATTAACTTGCTCCGCCGATCACATCTATCGATATTTACTTATTTTTTCATATAAAATTGTTGCAGCCTAGCGGTATTCGTCTGGGTTAATATCAATTTTCGTCAATTCCGTCATCCAAGCCACTCAGAAAATCGTATGTTTCTCCTGATTACTTAGACTAGGTACCAAACTACGCCTTGCAGAATTTCCAAATAAATTATTTTGTTGACAAAAGATATATATATTTCATATCCAAAAGAATGGTATATATAAATTATTCCAATCAATAAAAGAAATTTTCATATACACCTATCGATCGTCACACTTCTTTGTTTAATGGGATCTCCATTCTAATTCCTTCTTTTTGACCTTTGCCCCTCTTCTTTTACCACAAAGAATCATTACCCACAATTCGTCATGCTAAAATCCGAATCTGTAATCATCGATCGAGTTATTATTAACCAACCGAAATGGTAAAAAAACAAACCCTATAATGCTCATTTTCTCTCCATTTGTTTAGGTTTCCGCTCATACAATACACTCCTTCACTATTAGTTTGGAGTGACAAAAAATAAATCCGATTAAGATGTCAAACAAAGTAAACTTATGGTCTATGGAGACTCTTATATATTTTGAAACCCAAAAATAGAGGGGGAAAAAAGGTCGCAACGGTTTTAGACTTTTACCCAAACGGGAGACTGCTATTTAAACCACCAGGTCACTCTCACAGCAACTTCCATATACACTGCTTTCCGCCTTTCCCTTTTCTCCCCCTTCCATTCGCCGCTCTCCCTCTCCCTCCCCAATCACCGCACTGTTCCTTCCTTCCTTCCTTCGCCTCTCGATCTTCAAGATTGCAGCTTTTCTCCACACCTTTAGCGACGGCCGTCAGGGAGCTAAGGCGACGACGAGGGTTCGTTCCGTTTTCCAGAGATTCTCAGTTTTAATTATCTCACCGGGTAAGTTAATTATTAGTATAGTCATTAATCTTGTATTATCAATACTTATCCAGCTCAATCAATGGTGGCGGTGGTAATTTCGAAGTAAATCGCTTAATGCTAACCTAGTTTTATAGTACAAGCTTAAACCTCCTGAAGTTTTTTTTTTCTTTGTTGGATAAATATGCTATTTATTTTTTAGTACGTGATAAATATGAATTAAATACGTGATTGTAGGAGAATAAAATTTGTTACTTGTTTTGGTTCGTTGGTGATTCCTGAACATAAACGACGTTTAGTATTTTTCCTTTTTTTTCACTGCATATGAGGATATATAGAAAATAGAAGATATATTACCTTTTTTTCTATCAAAATTCAGGCATGTTATTATAATAATAATTTATTTACTTTCATATATTTATATCCCAAAGCCTCATGATGATGAGTTCACAGCTGGGTGGGAGGGGGGTTAAAAGGGTGGAATTGAAATGGGCAATCATGATTTTTCTTTATATATATCCCATTGTTTATCTATACTTTTGCTTTGTTTTCTCTTTTATATAAATAATAATATGAAGATCCCTATACCCAAATAATATAATTAATATTAGTGTATAATTCTTGTACGCTGAATTTTAAGGTGATCGGTTTGAATTATAAGAATTTTTAGTCTTTTTTTTTTCTCCTTCTTTTATTATGCTGTTAAATCATTTTTTTCTCGACTGTTGGCAACAGGGTCTGGTTTGGTTGGGTATGACTACAGATACCAAGTTTTAGTGACAACATTCCATGTGCAATTGCAACTAAGTACAAACGTGGATTAGCTAGCAATTAAGATCACGAAAATGGCGATAGTTGGTGTGGAGAACTCAAACATGTGGATGGGAGCAGGGGCATTATTGTCATCTGAGCATGCTTCGGTCGTGTCGATCAACTTGTTCGTGGTGTTACTGTGCACTTGCATCATAATCGGCCATCTGCTGGAAGAGAATCGATGGTTGAACGAATCCATCACCGCTCTCCTTATAGTTAAGCATTAATTTCGCAATTATTTAATCTAAATCCTCCTCAATTGGTCGTTATTATTATTATCCCTTCTGATGGTGCTAACTGCTAGAGATTTCAACGACATTTCATTAATCACATGCAGGGAATTTGCACGGGAGTGGTGATTCTCTTGCTGTCGAGAGGAAAAAGTTCGCGTATTTTGGTGTTTAGTGAAGAACTGTTCTTCATTTATCTTCTCCCGCCAATTATTTTCAATGCTGGGTGAGTGTTTATACGTTAATACTCTACAACTTTTCAACGTACGATATATTATGCTCAATTTGACTTCTACTATCATTGATGTTTGTGATTAATCAATGTAAGATGTACTTTTCCACTAGTTTTCAGGTGAAAAAGAAGCGATTTTTCAGGAACTTCTCGACAATTACACTTTTTGGTGCAATTGGTACTCTAATATCTACCGGTGTCATATCTGCAGGTAATATATGTACTTAATTTATAGCTTAATGTGACATTTAACTGTGCCCTAGTCGTTTGTTAGCAATTTGTGTTAGGGTTATGCTACTTTTACTATGCCTAATGATCAGTAACTGTGTTGATTTGATAAGGAGCTATGTACTTCTTCAAGAATAAGGACATTGGTTATCTGAGCATAGCAGACTATCTTGGTAAGTCGAGTTAACACTACTTGTTAGTCATTGCGTTAATTTGTATATGTGATTGCTTTTCATTTTTAACATATCTCTCACCACAACTTGTAGCTATTGGAGCCATATTTTCTGCTACGGACTCTGTGTGTACATTACAGGTACGAACCTTTTGAATAAAACTTAGAGAATAGCACGAGTATAATCTGCTATGCCTGGTTTCTTGAATGATATCAATCGTTGTTCATGTTGGCCACGACCTGTGTAAAGATGACAAATATGTGTTGGATCCTATTGAGCACATACTGCTTAGCGTTGTTATATTTATCAATCGTAGGTGCTTAATCAAGACGAGACACCATTGTTATATAGCTTAGTGTTTGGGGAGGGTGTAGTGAATGACGCCACATCAGTTGTACTCTTCAACGCGATCCAAAGCCTCGACTTCTCTCACATCAGCTCGATCGCTTCTCTCGAATTCGTGGGCAGCTTTCTCTACTTGCTCATCTCAAGCACCATATTAGGAGTACTGGTTAGTGATCAATTGCTTCATCTCTCCTTATAGGGTTCGGATTTCTCCATGTTTGTCCTAGCTAGCTAGTCGTTATAATGCATGTTATGGCCAATGATCCATGACCTTTAGACTTTGTTCTCCTCTACAATTTACAGGTTGGACTACTAAGTGCATATACCATTAAGACCCTCTATTTTGGAAGGTATGTGAATGGTTCTCATCCCAAAATGCAAGTCAAATGAGTTGCCCTCGGTCGAGTTAAAGCGGGCTAGGTTATGCTTAGAAAATAATACAAATATGATACACGAGTTTGTATTAAATGCATTGAGATAACGATCGATGATATATAATTAATTAGGTAAGGGTCAAGGCGAATCTGAATCACATCAAATAATTAGTCATGACTCGTGACATTATATGAATTAAACAAAATGTTATAAATAGATATTGACTTATTAACTCTTGTTTTTTTTTTCTTTTCCACGCTTTGGACCGAAATAACACAGACATTCGACGGACCGTGAAGTTGCAATAATGATTCTCATGGCTTATCTTTCTTATATGCTGGCCGAGGTAAGATTTCCCACTATAATTTGTTACCCTAATTGCAACAATCCAAAAATGATGCATTCATCACTAGCCATTTTTACAGATATACTAATGATTTGTTACTATGTGCTAATTAACCTTGATGCAGCTATTCTCCTTGAGTGCCATTCTCACTGTATTCTTCTGTGGGATTGTGATGTCACATTACACGTGGCACAACGTGACCCAAAGCTCAAGGGTGACAACCAAGTATGTTGATCACAATTAAACACTACATCTTAACTCAAATATTTATATATCCATCCTCATTTTATCATAATGAATAACAAAATTATGTGTTTAGCTAGTTATATATATACACACTTTTATCTAATTCAAATCCCTCGAAACCCATTATTTTCACTATTTAATTTGATTTTTTTTTCGTATTTTTCTAGGCACGCTTTTGCGACATTGTCATTTGTTGCTGAGATCTTCATCTTCCTCTATGTTGGCATGGATGCTCTTGACATTGAGAAGTGGAAGTTCGTGAGCGATAGGTAATTAAATCTATACTAATATTTATCATAAAAAAAATTATTTCGAACTCATCTGAAATTATCACAGTGATATTAATCGAATGGCAAATTCCTTTTTTTTTTTTTTCTTTCTTTCATTTTCACAGTCCTGGAACATCAATTTCTACAAGTTCAATTCTACTGGGACTGGTTATGGTTGGGAGAGCGGCTTTTGTCTTCCCTTTGTCCTTCTTATCAAACCTGACCAAGAACTTCTCATCCGACAAACTAACCATCAAACAACAAGTACGCTACTTGTTTGATTTTATGAGTAAAAATCTGTTCCAAGAGTTAAGGAGTTAGTTAGTTAACATGTTCTTTGTTTTATCAAATTAATTCGACGTGCAGGTAACGATTTGGTGGGCAGGGCTAATGCGCGGCGCGGTCTCAATGGCTCTGGCTTATAATCACGTAAACAATCTAACGATTATGATCATATGATCTAACCCTCACAAAGTTGTCTTCAAAGACAAAGTAATTGATTGGCTTTGCTTTCTCGCCATTCAATTTTACTCTTAATGATTGTCTCATAGTTTCCACCAACATAGATAAGATTAACCATAACACGGTCTTATTTGTTGATGTTCGGAGTATCAGAGAACCAATGTCAAATCGATATGAAAGCCGGTTTGGATGGGAGAGCATGTTTCGAGCTGTTTCGAAACCGGTTATCTGATACCCTGACAACCTGTCTAATACTACTATACTAACTAATGATAATTATGTACCAATCCATGGTTTTGGTGATATTCAGGCAACTTCAATTGACTTTCATCATGTGCATTTTTTTTCTTTGGCAGTTCACGCGTTCAGGATATACTCAACTACGCCCTAATGCAATCATGATCACAAGCACCATCACCGTTGTCCTCTTCAGCACAGTGGTAAGAGCCATATATTCCAAACGAAGTTTCCGATATCATGACAAGAACTATTGCATTCCAAGAACCGTCTGATTGAAAGTTAAAAATACTCGGTTGGTAACCTAATTCGTTTCGTTTGTGTCATATTTTCTTGGATTTCCAGGTATTTGGGATGCTAACTAAGCCGTTGATCAAATTTTTGCTACCACCCACAAAACAAATACTAGCTAGTGACAGCATGGTGTGTTCCGAGCCATCCAGTCCGAAATCTTTGGCCATCCCACTTCTACTGGACGGAGGAAACTCGGACGATGAAGAGAGTTCGAACACGTTGCCTAGGCCAACGAGTTTGAGAATGTTTCTGAGAACCCCTTCGTACTCGATCCATTACCATTGGAGGAGGTTCGATGACGGGTTCATGCGACCTGTTTTTGGAGGTCGAGGCTTTGTGCCTTTTGTCCCTGGCTCACCTGTCGAGTCCGATGATCTTCAACAACAATGGCTAAACTGAGCTTATTATATAAGAATGGGGCCAGTTATTATTTTCAGACTGGGCTTTGACTACACACTAATGTATTTACCAAAGAGAAAGAAAGGGAAAAAGTTATAGCGAAAAGAGTGAGGTTTTTGGCATTGCTATGTTGGGTTAGTGAGTATTGTGTGTGACAAATTTTGTTGGTAACCAGGGGAGTGGGACATTGGTGTTTTTTTGGGAGTGATTAGTACATGTGTGATGCTTGCGTGAGCTTTGTTAACTATTGATTAGTACATGTATCAGGCTGAATTTGTGGTAAATTCTTGTTTAGAAGTACTCTTTTTTTATCAAATGGATGCAACGTACATTCTACCTTACATTCAAAATCGCTCGGGATTCGAAAATTCTCTAACAATCGTACATAGTTCAGTTACACAAAATAGGATCGGATAGCAGGAAAATATTAGAACGTAAAAGCATAAAATGGCCTCTAGTAGCTAGGTAGTATGCACACTTTCATCCTCATGTGTATATGTGGATAACAGAAACATCCCACTATCAAAGAAGCAACTCAAAAGCTCTATCCAGAATGATGATGGTTGCTAGAAATAGAATCCTCACTCTGAAGCAGTTGACAAACACATTCGAAGTCCAATTCCAGCCTAACATGGCGGTAACAAGCATTCCAAGCTAATTGCAGTCTTCTACAACGCCTGTTAACTTCACCTGGGTAATAGAGCAAATCCTATGTTCATTGCGAATGCCAAGAGGCACTGACCTAAATGATCTAGAAGCGGGCCACCTGCTGCGGCGTGACCTAGTATTGGTGTAAACAGAGCCATCAGTATTATTGAGGGTGACACACTCTGGAAGTGGTGGCTTCCAAGAGATATCCACCTCCGTTTTTATGGGCGGATTAGGCTGATGAATGAACCCATCCATGTCCAAGGCGTGTCTCATGACATTTAACCAGGCTTGGATGCGATGTTGAAAGGTTTCAATTGTAGTGATCTTGCCTGCAAAGACTCGACAATTTTGGTCTTCCAAAGAGACCAACATGTAAGGCCAAAAATATTGAATTATGAGTGACAATAATAATTGCTAGGGTCGGTTCAAAATAAAATTTGACTGAATGGGTTATAAGACTCTTTTTATTATCAAACAATCATTATGACTTAATTATACATGACTCGCGAATTTCATGTGCTATCTTTTTTCTTAAATGACAACTTATTTTGTGTCTCTCTAAAAACATGTTATCATCATGATCTATTCCTATTAACATTTGCATGATTTCAATGTACATAAGACAATATCCTAATCCATATTGGAATCAATAATTTGGTTGGACTATGTTGTGGTATTGGAGAAAACCAACATCTTGAAAATTGTTCTTTATTACAACAAGTGGTTGAATTTTTCTCTTATTCTCAGGTATTGCCATGATAACTAAACTGCTTATTCAAATTTGCTAGCACCTTTGAAACATACATATAGCATAGTGTGTTCTAAGTCACCCAGTCCAAAATCTCCATCGTTCTTGCTTCTATTGATTGGAGAAAACTTGGATGATCAAGAGACTCCAAACTTGTTGATTAGGCAAACGAGTTAGCAATAGTTTTTGAGAACTTTGATATTTTTTATTCATGTTGTAATTGTGTTATATGGTTTTAAGGCATTAAATTATGAGTCACGATAATAATCGTAGAATCAGGGGACAGGATACGGTGACAACCTCTAAGGGAGTTGTCAGATTCACAACCAAGGGTATTTTGGGTATGAAAAAAGGAATATATTAATTACCTTTTGTGTCTTAATTATATTGGGAATTAAAAACCCATATTAAATACAATTTTTTTTGAAATTTAAATCCTATACATTAATATCTCTATCTATCTCTCTCTTCCTTTCTCCAGCGGCCACTCCGCATCGACGGACAGACTTTTTTCCTGCGAATTCTCTCCGGCAGACTCCCTCCGGCAACCTGAAAAAAATGTACCAGTGCGTTAAAAAGTGAACCAATCCATTAGTCTACTGGTAATTAATATACCAGTGCTAGTGGTACGCTACCAATGCGTTAAAAAATGTATCAGTACTAGTGGTATGCTACCAGTACAACGCTACCACTACCATTGGTAGCGGTACCAGTAAAGAATAAATGTACCACTAGCACTGGTAGCGCTACCACTAGCATTAGTAGCGATACCAGTAGAGAATAACACAAAAAAATAGATGATAGTGGTACCAGATGATAGTGGTACGCTACCACTACCAGCTACCTTGTGGTAGTGGTAGGTACCACTTTCACTGGTATGCTACCAGAAAAAAATGGTACCACTAAAAAACCAGATCTAGAAAAGGGGAGTCGGTGACGGGAGAGAGAGGTAGGGGAAGAGGGTGACCTCGCGACGGCGGCAGTGGTCGGGGACGAAGGGCGGCGAGAGGGCTCCGACGGGGAGAGGATGATTGTGCCGCGGTGGTGGGAGGCGGACGTTGCGACGAGCCGGCGGTGACGAGATGGCGGTTGAAGGCTCGACAGGCGCCTGAAGGCGGAGGGGCGCCGACGCCGGCGGTGGAGATGGCGGAGATGGCGGAGGGCTCTGCGAGAGAGGGAGGAGAGACAGTGATGGCTACGGGAGAATGGGAGGAGAGAGGGAGGAGAGAGAGAGGGAGGATGGAGGAGTTAGGGTTTTTTCTTTTTATATTGTAGATGAATGATTGGGTGTGGTAAATTTTTATCCTTCCAAAAATACCATTTCTTTAATCTTAACCGTTAATTTAAAAAAAAAAAAAAAGAAACAAGAGAGAGAACATATCCAAGGGCTATGAAGTGGGTTGTGAATCTGACAACCCCCTTAGGAGTTGTCACCGTATCCCGTTTCTAGGATCAGTTCAAAATAAAATTCGATTGAAGGGATTATAATACTCTTTTTATTATCGAACAATAATAATTATTTAGCTATGCATACATGACTCACGAATTTGATATGTTGCCTCAAATGACAAATTTTTTTGTCTCTGTCTCTAAAAAAGGCAAGTTATCTATCATGATCTATTTTCTATTAATATTGTGATTAATAATTTGGTTGGACTAGACTATGGTATTGGAGAAATTCAACATCTTGAAAATCGTCTTCTCTATTACAATGAGTGGTTGAAAATAGTTGACACAATATTGAGTTTGGGTGTTTATGAATGGTTGGTGGTCCATTCTTCACTTGTCCCATGTAGTTGTGAATAGGAATAGCAAAATATTCCACCGTGGGTACCTAATCCGAATAAATTTTGTTGGGAAAAATTCAATCTATAATAATTTTGGATGGGCTTTCCTCAAATCCGACTATTACTAGTGAGTTTGGTGCGATTTTGGTATTTTAAGTATTTGTACCGAGCTTATCTGAATATGTATCATAATTTGTTCTAGACTCAACCATCTCAACATTTTTTTTATCCATATCCCTGTAATATTATAATTATAGATATCAAATCATGTTCATTTTCTCACAATTTTACAAACAATGTGACAAAGAAATTTCATTTTACATTGACATTCGAAGAATATTTTTGGATTATATAAAAAAAACTTTACACATGATTGTTCGAGGATGGTGCAGATGAGTTTTCCCCGAACCGCATACTGGTTTTGGTATGATATATGACATTCCTGCAAAGTTTTGGTTACGGGGATGGTTATATTTCTAAAACCATGATTCGGGGATGATATATATGAAAACTGGCCCCGCTCAAATCCCTCGCCATCCCAATTTGTGATGCTAAAGTACAACATGTAGGATCAAAAAGGTTTGGGTTCTAATGTCGAAGGAAGAAATGACGATTTCTCAGTCTATGATCAAAACAACGATGCAACATATGAGATCATAGAAAAAACGACGTATTTAGTTCGTCAATTACGTGCATAAAAGAGGTCTAACTATTGTCCGAAATGTACAAATGAGATTGACGCCTCCAACTCTTTGCGTTAGTGTTGAAACTTAGACATTAAAATCTACTACATTAGTGTCGAGCCAGCTCCAACTTATATGCTTAAATAAGTAAATAAGTTTCCATGTTTCTCTACATGGTTAAAAGGTCCTATAAAACTGGGGTAAGATACTATGCCTACCCTTAAAGGGGTTGGTTTTTTGACACCCCCTTCTCAATTGGTCAATTTTTTCATTAATCATTGACAAGTATTAATGAAGGTAAAGATAATAAATGTTCTGTTATTAAATACAAAGTAAGCATTATATACACCACATTAATTACTTGTTTTTAAAAAAAATCTAAACATATAAAAAATACAATTCTCTCTCTCATCTTTGATCTTTCTCACTCCTATCTCTGATTCTTCCTTTCCCAGCAGCCTCCAACCACCAAGTTTCCTCCGACCACCACACTTCGCCGGTAAAATCCCGCCGACAGACTCTTCCGATCACCTACGAAAATATACCACTGCATTGATATGTTGTACCACAGTACTGGTATTTGTACCACTGCATGGATACTCATATATGACATTGGTACCAGTGCACTGATATCGCTACCGGTGCAGTGGTATAGCTATCAGTGCATTGGTACAACGTATCAGTGCAGTGGTATATGTTTTGCAGGTGGTCGGAGGGAGTCTGCCGATGGGATTTTCACCGGAGAAGTGTGGTGGTCGGAAGAAGCCTGGTGGTCGGAGGCTGCTGAAAAAGGAAAAGTTAGATATAGGGAGAGAGAATGTATTTAGTGTATGTTTGAATTTGAAAAAAAATTTAATTAATATGGTGCATTTAATTCCTAATAAGTATTTAATATGGTGCATTTAATTCCTAGTATAAACTACGAAGGAAAGGGAAAATCTACAAATATATTATAGTAGAGTTAGAAGCAGTTATTCAGGATTTTAAAATTGCAGGCCAGAGAGCAATTTTCGGAGACCCAATTTAGTAATTATACAATCCAATTAATCTGAGGCTTTTTTTGTGTTTCGTCTGGCCCAATAGCTTGCTTGCTTTTTTATATTTGGGGCTTCGCCTGATCAAGACAAAATATTTGGGCCTTTTGAGTTTTAAAGCCCATCAATATCTATCTTAATATTAGCCTACTTGAACCATTCCAATCCTTTCATTTTTCCTTGGAAGGCAGCAGGCATCCTCGCCGCTTCTCTGTTTCCCAGAAAGGACGAACACAAAGGGGTTTCTCCAAAGTACTTGAATCCGCCGACCAGAACGTGGGTAGCCTTTCCCTTCGATTCGGAGATCATGGTGAGGGTTATAACGGATCTCTTTGACTACTATCTCATTTTCGAACGTGGATATCATGGGACGGGAAGCGCCGACGAAAAGGTAGCTCTCCACTTTTCAGGCGATTGCGTTCACTTCAAACGGTGAGTTGTGAACTCTAAACCTCAAATTACCCAGTTGTGTGAATATAAAGCTTACTTCGAGCTTCCCTCTGTCTGTGAAGAAGGCACTCCCACCAATGGATCAAAGTGTTCCGATTGCTCAACTCACCACGAAAGAAAATCGGACTTGGGTTTTGCAATACAGAGTTTCAAGGAAATGGATAGCTATCAACCCGAATACTGATATTGTGATGAGTTTAGATATGTTGTTGCTGAATGCAAAGGTATTTACGAGCTTAGGTACAAAGCTTTATGTATGACATGTTCCAACCTCAATTTTGTAACGTTAGTTTGTGGACGTGGTCACAGGGAGATGCCATTTGGGTGCAAGTACCCCGGAACTTGATCAAGAGATTTGATTCGAAGATTAAAGAACAAGCCATCTATATCATTGCAAAGTTCAAAGTGAGTCAATTAACTGACAACAAGAAGTATCGTCCTGTTAAGAATCCATTGTGCATTGAGTTTCAACCAGGGACAACCATTCGCCCCATGGACATTACACAGCCCATCCCTCGCCACATCTTCAGATTCATCGAGCATTCTGACATACTCAAGAACATCAACAACAGAATGGTTTTGCTTGGTAATTAATGTTTCCGTTTGTAGTACAGGTGCTTTCACTGTTCAATTACTAACTTATGAGATACACACCTCTATCCCATGATGTAGATGTTGTTGGCCTGGTGAAGGTATGTTTGGCTCCTATTACCACGACTAATCTAAGAGGGAGGTCTGCTCGCAAGG